TATACCAATGAAAGAATTTTTCTTTTACTTTTCAAAGAGAAGAGCAAACTGGGGTGGGGGGTGGGGTGGACAGGGAGAAAAGTGCAACAATGAATGAATGAAAATCCAAAATTTCTGTAAATGTTCATTAAAATTAATAAAAAACAAAAACCAAGGAATCAGAAAGCAGATGCGGTAAGCATTTAATTATACAGGCCGTTTTGAGGAAGTGGTTTGTCTTTAGCACAGTATAAAGCAGAGACAGACACTTGCTTTTTCATTTTCATGAACAATGTATCTTTTTAAAAGAAAGCCAGTTGACACTCATATTATTCTGTTTTATTTATTTTTGGCTAACTTACAAAAATGCAGTTATTAAAGGCAGACTCCACCCCCCCATTTACACTATTCTGCGGATATATACCGAAGTGTGCATGTTTACAGAATGCAGTGGTATGAAAACACTTCTCCTTCCTTCCATAGTCCCTGACTATACACAGGAAAATTTTTTCATGCCAAAATTTCTTGGCCACTTTAATAATCTCCCTATTTCTGCTACCAAAGTCACAAAGTTGGTATTACAATTTAAAATAAGTTCGGATTATTATTATTATTTTTTTTTTTTGCTTTACTTTCTTTTTGTCATTTTGTTCTTTATAACCACAAAGACTAGTATAGAGAAAGCCCTGTGCAAAACAACACAACAGAGTTCAAAGCCGGAGGTGCTGCTCAGCAAGGTTGAAGAGATCAGTCTCTGGTGGCTGGAATTTAGGCTGCAGCCCCTGTTTATGGTGGGTCTCTGAGTGTGTGGGCATTGTCTGTTCTTGCACCAGATTTGAGCAGAAGAGTCACCTGGTCCAGGTGGTGTAGAAATGAAGTGCTTAGTTTCATGTGTGATTAAATGTCAAAGTTTCTGCTCTCGCTGCTGAACCAGGCAGAGTTGTACTTCTTGTAAAACTCCTTGATCTGGGCCACAATGTCCTACTCTGCTATATTTATCCAATGTCTGACTAGTGCACTCCATCGAGTTCTGTTGCATCTCTTCAGACATGTCCTCATTTTTTAACATGGCCTTTCTGATGCAAAAGGAGCCCTGGTGGCGCAGGAGTTAAGCACTCAGTTGCTAACTTTTAACTGAAAAGGTGCTAGGAGAATGATGAGGCAGTCTGCTTCCATAAAGATAGGGTCTCTATGAGTCAGAACTGACTCCATGACCATGGGCTGGGTTTTCAGCCACCTAAGGTTACACCGGAGCAGGGATTGACCAAGGTGTCTCCCTGAGAAGGGGACAGGGCTACACTGGCTCAAGCCAAGGAGAGCCACGCAGAGGTCTAACGGTTTTACACATACACAAATTATCTGCTACTTAAGACATTAAAAAGTCGGTTTCTTTAAAATCACAAAGTAAGGCACCATTGGATTAAACCTTTTTATCAGTTTTTACAAAACAAAACAAAATCCATAGTGAAATAAATACTGAACATGAACTTTTAATACTGTAATATATTTTTATATAAAATGATATGTGAATGCTAAAATTCTGTATTACACATTAAATCTGGAAATTTAATGGAAAAAATATCCAACTATATGAAAGCTGATTTCAGGGAACAAAATATTAATTTATGTGCTATACTTTAAAGTTTTTGAATAGATTTTATTAAACATTTTTGATGCAATAAAATTGCTAATTTTCAAAGGTCTTGTAGGTATATTAATGAAGTAGTCACTTAAAATATACATTAAAAACACCTTTATTCTGGATTTGTTGAACCTGTTTCAAACATTAGGGTGGTCTCTGCAAAAGTTGGGGCATGTAAGGCAGTTTGTCAACTCTTACTACCATTTAAAAAAAATTCAGGCCCATTTGCTCTAAGCTAGACTTTTCTCTGCCATACTCTTGGAAGGCCAAACCCCATCATTCCTGAAATGGGCCAGAAAAGGTTTTATCCTAGAGTTCTTTTGTACTGCTGAAATCAGATCAAAGAATCCAAAATAAAATGATGCTGTTAAATTACCCAAGTGCTAAAGCTAAAATACATTTTCAAAACTACTTTGCTAAGCTTGTTACATCTTTTTTATTTTTTAAATTTTTTTTAAGCTTGTGACATCTTTTAAAAAATATTTATTGATTCTCTTTGGGTAATGAGCCTTAAGCAACAGAATGGAAAAGAAATGAATTAAACAGAGGACAAAATTAAAAAAACACGTTCTCAATGCATTAAGGCTAGGACTTTGGTAAGGAAAGTTATAAAAATACAATGTGTTCAACTGGTAACCTTATAATTATTAGACACCCCTAGATTCATAAATGAAACATTTATTCCATAAACAGGAATGCATTTTTCAAATTTCTCTTTGGATCTTACTAGAATCTCCCACTAATACATGAACAATACACCATGATACAACATTTAGGTAGATATACATATACATATGTGGTCAAGTGCTTTTAAAAAACAATAGTAATTTAAACATAATCAACCATATAAAACACCTAAGTGAAAATATTGTTTCCCATCTCTAGAGCTAGATTGAAAAGTCCCAGTAAGGTTTTGTAAACAAAATCATATAAAAAAAGGCAAGGTTGGCTCTTCCTATGGTCCATTATCAGAGTTTAATTTGCATAGATCTAAGACAAATTACTTTCCTAGAAAGATTAAACAGAAATTTCCTCCAATTTCCCTCCCTAGTTCCCTCAATCCCATAAGCATCAAATTTAAATTTCTAGAGCAAGCTTTATCCACCGACAGAAATCTGTTCCCTTCTTCCACGTTTTTGAGCTGCTACCTTTCCCCCACTTCCTTCCTCGCAGAGGCCTTGCCTAGCCTCTCCAGACCCAAGCTGAGCAGCATGCTTGTCGGGAGAGGGAGAAGGACAAAGGCCACTTCTAATGCATCAGGCAGGAGTCCAGGTGACAAGTGAGCGCACAAGCCAGCTGGTTCTGAGCCCAGAAGCCTTTCCCTTTCAGTGTCTTGTCAATGGCTTTATTCTACATGACTGTAAACCATACGAGGTCAATTTCTGACCTTGCTACTGTAAGCAACGTTTGCATACAAACATAGGGAGAGAGGGAAAAATAAAGGGGGAAACCTTTAAGGCGAAGCTGGCTGCCAAACAATGTGCTGGGCTCTAACTTTATTGTTAGTTACCTCTTGAATTGCTAATCCATCTTGCTTTAGAATATAAACTAACAATTCAAAAATTCCTTTAAAAATCCTGAAGAACAGAAAAACTAAGAGGTTACTCCCTACCCTGCATCTTCCAGACTGGTGTTTTCCAATACTGGAGCCACCAGCCATGTGGTTCACTGAGCACTCGAGACGTGGCTGGTCCACAGGGAGAGGCGCCGTAAGGTGTGCTAGACTTGGAGGGCTTAGTACCAGAAAAGGAATGTAAAAACTCTCACTAGTAATTTTTGTATTGAAGGAGAGTTAAAATGATAATATTTTTGCCTATAAAGGGTTAAATAAAATATATTAAAATGTTACCTTTAATCGTTTCTCTTTAAAAACTGTGGCTACTAGAAAACGTTAAACAGTATCTGAGGCTTGTGTTATATTTTTTGTTATTTGTGCTGGGAAGCTGTGACCTAGACCCGACCTAAGACTGTCAAGGACTGGACATCCTGTAGCTCCAAAGTGTCATAGTAGCCCTCACTCAAGAAACTTGCTTAGATGGCTTGTGGTTTGTGGAAATTGGCAGGAGGCAAAGCACACACAGAAGGCATGGAAGTGAATAGCTCTCAGGGGCGTTAATAATCATAGACTTAGAGCAAATATGCAGTGGATGATTGAATTTGGTTGGCTGAAAGCTGGGCTGTGGTTCATCTCTGCCTACTTGCCACAAAAGCCTATCTACCTCCAAGCAGCCCAAACAGGCAGGCTGAGCTGAAGCAAGCGTAGCTTGGAGAATACGTACAATATAAAAAGCTAAGTGCATTTCTTTACTGGATACCCCAACACATATATATCTTATCCTTCCTTTCCCCCCACCCCCAACATAAAGGGGACAAGGGAAAGAGAAGGGGAGGAGGGTGTGTAACTCTTGGATAGCAATAACAGAAGCAGTTCTCAAGCTCGGTGTCAAAGGCAGGCCAAAGATCACCTTGGGATGGGAGGAAGCGGTGGGGCACCTCTTTCTCTTCGGTTCGATCCACCTTGATGAGAGGGAAAAGAGACAAATATAATGTACAATTTTGGTTAGAAAGTCTTGGGTCTTCACTGTAGAATTTCTGGGGTAGCTGGAAAGGTACCAACTCTCTTTCCTACTATGACCAGACCTGAAAATCAACAGGTTTGTATAGATGAGAAATGATTTGATGAATAGCCACTGGGCTCTTAAGAGCTTGAGATAAGCTGTCAAAGGTTCAACTATTAATCTCTCTTCTTCAAAAAAGAATGAAAATCAAAGATGCATAGAAATAATTAGTCTAAAGGATGAGTGGACCACATGAACCTCGTGAACCCTGCTGCCCTGAATCCAGAAGAACTGCGCAGTGCCTGTTACTACTGCCGACCACTCTAACGTGGATTACAGCATAAGGCCCTGGAAAAAAGAGCGGCAGGAAGATGTGGAACAAAGTTCAAAATGATAAACACGAGGCTTGCTGGTCTAACAGACACGGGTGGAACCTCATGAACCTCTGCAGCCTGGTAGTGAACTCAGCCCTGTGGCTCAGTGCAGCCAAACAGCAGACAGGCTTTGGACACAGACATGCACACCACGGAGGTGCTCACAGATCACACGGGATCAAAAGTCAGTATCTGCCCAAGGAGAAAGCGCAGAAGGCAGCAAGGGATGGAAAAGCAGTGAACCACAGGGAAGAAGGGCAAAGAGGATATTAGGTGGGAACACTAATGTCACAAACAAAATCTGTATGAATGCTTCAGTGGAAAACCAATTTGTTCTGTGAACTTTCAGTCAAAGCACAAAAAGTTAAAAAAAAAGGAAGAAATAAAAGTGAAAGGCTGAAGCAAGAAAAGAGCTGAATAGACACTATGAGAGAAACTTGGTTCCTTGCTGGGTACTGAGTACTTGTACAAACAAATGTTTCCATGTTTAAAAAAAATTTCTCTTTATTAGAAACATATTACCTGCTCAATAGGGAATAGCAAAAACACACATACATACATATTCATTCACCCAAGCTTTCACCATCCCAGAGACCACTAATTATATTATGCATGTATTTTTCTATGTAGTTTCTTCTTCCAAAATAGGAGCATGTCAGTTATATTTTTGTTTGAATATTCTTCAAAGCCATTACTCTTTATCAGTATAATTACTAAGGATACATTGCAATGTGGGACAATGCAATGTCCATACTATTATAAGGTTACCTTCCAATTTATTTAGTCAAATCCCTTTTGGGGGCAACTTAGATTCTTCCTAATTAGCAAATAACATTTTTTAAAATGTATTTTTGTAGTTCATAGGGAGGTGCACTGCTGACCCAAAGGCAGCAGCACATTTCTGGTGGTTTGAATCTGCCAGTGGCTCTGCAGGAGAAAGATGGGCACTTCCTCCCGTGGGATTTACAGCCTCCTGAAAGCCAGCGGGTGGGTCAGTTACGAGTTGGCTCTTGCTCTGCAGCAATTAGTCTGAGTTTGTCTGACTTTTTGATGCGTATACATAACCTTTCAGTACTGTAACCAGGGTTATAGCCCATCCATACACATGCATTTATAGTCCGATTCATTTAAACTACATACTTTTTTAGGCTTTAATGTGTGCCAGGTGTGATGCTAGGTGCTCAGATGCTGTTGGGTCTATAAGGACATAAGCCAATTGGGTAAATTTGCTGCTATGAGACTCACTGTTCAGAGTAGGCAAGCTGCCTTTTGGCAGATTCCTCAGGTGGCATTTCAGCATCAAACTAGTAGCTCTTAGGGATTTCCAAGTTAGAACCAAATCTCTGAACAAAGGGAGGAGCTAGAGAAAAGTCTGGCCTCTCATTATGTCCTCACTTTCCCAAAGGAAATTTTTTCTTGGTCAGGCATCTGACAAAGATCCATCTGACTGCACGCCTGCCATGACTCTCCACGGTCCCGTCACAGGTAGGTAGCACAAAGAGGGCCAGCCCTGGACAAAGCTATAATTAGGGGACTTGGGGTACATTCTCTGGAGATGTGCTGGCTCAGTGGGTAAGCATACATCAGCTAACTGAAAGATTGAACCCCACTTTGTTTGGTAAAAAGTGACAGAAAGATGAGTCAGTCCATTCTCAAGATTTACAGCATTAGAAACCTTTAAGGACAATTCTACTCTCTTTCATGGGCTCACTATGAAAAGGAATTGAGGGGATGTCAAGAGGTTTGTGGGTTTTGGTGTGGATGTGCTCTTGACTTCCCAGGGATGTCCGAGGACCCTACCAGGCTGTGGGCTTGGAGCTGAGACAGCTATAAAGATGTATCAGTCCTTGTTAATGGTTTATTTTTGTTGGGCAAATGATCCATTAGCACTGTAAGATATTAAATACATAATGCTAGAAATATTTAAGACAACAGTGGAAATGAGTAAATTTGACTACTATTTTAAAATGTCTTCTGTGTTCAGTCTCTTTTCCATGTGCAGAGGATAGGACAATGAGTAGGGTATCATTTCAATTATCCTCAAGTCCCTTAGTCTTTTGTTTTTTTAATTTTTTTTATTATTTTATTATTTGTGTGTGTGTGTGTTTGTGTGTGTGTGTGTGTGTGTGTGTACCGTCAAATCGGATCTGACTGGTACAGGAGGAGATTGTCCCTCCTTTCCCGGCAGAGCATCTGGTGGATTTGAACCGTATGCCTCTGGGATTGCAGTGCAGCTTCTTGCCACGAAGCCACCAGAGCTCCCCAAATCCCTTACTCTTAAAGGGAAGTGGGGCAGGAATGTATTTTGATACTAAATTTAGAGAGTTAGGAAGGATGGCTCTGGAATGGATTTTTAAAAAAAATATTAAGAATGTTAAGAGAGACTCAGAATGTTTTTAGGAAGTCAAGGAGCCCTGGTGACCTAGTGGGTAAGGAGTTGTGCTGCCACCCAGAGGCACATGGTTCAAGTGCACCAGCTGATCCACTACAGAAAGATGGGAGGTCTCCTCCTCCGCAGTTTACAGTCTCTGAAAACGTGCTGGAGAGTCTGGTAGAAGTTGGTTCCAACTGGATGGCACACAACAACAACAATGTCATAAGAAGGCAGAAGGAATAGTCTGCATGAACAATTTCTTCAAGCCAAACCAATAAAAACCCCAAACCACTGCCATCAGTTGAATCTAACCCACAGTGAAGATTCACTGGGCCCCGAGGGCTGCATATCTTGAAGGGAGGAGACTGCCAACCTTTCTCCAGTAGAGCAGCTGGTGGATCCAAACCACTGTCCTTTTTGGCTAGTAGTCCAACACATTACATATTGCCACCCAGGCTCCTTCCTTTAAAAGGGAGCGAAACCAGCCTGAACACACACACACACACACACACACACACACACACACACACACACACACACACACACAGAGTTTAAAGGTATCTATTCCACAGTAAGACTTCTTTCTCACCAAAAAACATTAACTCTTGTGTGATAATTTTATCACAGTATGTTTTTTCAAATTAGGCACTGTCTTAGGGATGTGATATTCTATATGAACAAATTTTTCCAGGAAATAAAATTTGTCCTTTTTAAAATTTTTTTTAATAAAAATTTCTCCTTTTAAGCAGCAATATTGTTTATAACTAGCATTTCACCATAGACATTTTGCTAAAACACTTGCTAATTCTCTGGCTTCTTCAAAATAGGTTCACAGTACAATATGACCTATTCTTAATAACCAAGAGAAACATGGACTGTTGTCCCAGGCTGTCTTATGCATCACAACTCTATGTTCCCATGTCCATCCTGCACCTTAGACTACCACCTATCACTTCCTGATGCCCTTGACTGTGTTCTAAGCAACCTTAACTCCTTCTAGTATTAATGTCCTCTAATGGCGGTCTGTTAGGGACCTCTCCAAAGTACTGAAGAGCAATGGTGTCTCTCTGGAGACTAAGGTGCGTCTGATACAGGCTATGGTCTTTGTAATCACTTGTTATGCATCAGAGAGTTGGACAATGACCAGGGAGGATAGAAGGAGAATTAATGCCTTTGAGCTGTGGTGCTGGAGAAGAGTATTGAGAATACCATGGACTGCTAGGAAAACAAACAGATTTGTCCTGGAAAGGGTTAAACCGGGTGGCTCCTTGGAGGCAAAGATTCTGAGGCTCCGTCTAACATATTTTGGACATGTTGTGAGGAGGGACCGGTCCTTGGAGAAGGACATCATGCTTGGGAGGGTGGAGGGACGGCGCAGGAGGGGAAGGCCCTCTATGAGGTGGATTGATTCAGTGACTGGGATAATCGGGATGGGAGTGTCAGAGACAGTGCGATTGGCACAGGACAGAGTGGAGTTTAGGGCTGTTGTACATTGGGTCGCTATGAGTCGCAAGCGACTCGACGGCACATAACAACAACAACAACAAATGCCGGTAGCCAATCAGTGAACTTATTTTAGGACTGACTGCACATTCTCTGAGAATTGTGGGATCAATATGTGAATAAGGATAGGCATTAGGAACATGGCAACAATTATTTGACATGCTCATAAACTTTCTCTCTATACATTTCTGGCATGGAAGTTCGTTTCTGACATTAATGCTCCTACAAGTCTAAACCTCATTAGTGATGTTGTTGTTGTTATGTACCATCGAGCTGTCTGCGACTCCTAACTACCCTATGTACAACAGCCCTAAACCCTGCTCTATCCCTTGCCAATCTTACTGTCTCTGACACGCCTACCCTCTTTACCCCAGCCACTGAATCAATCCACTTCATAGAGGGTCTTCCTCTCTTGCACTGTCCCTCCACCCTTCCAAGCATGACATCCCTCTCCAAGGACTGGTCCCTCCTTGCAACATGTCCAAAGTATGTCAGATGAAGCAGAGGAAGCTTCAGAATCCTTGCCTCCAACGAGCAGTCTGGTCTCACTCTCTCTAGGACGAACCTGTTTGTTCTCCTAACCATCCATGGCATATTCAATACTTTTCTTTAGCACCACAGCTCAAAGGCATCAATTTTCCTTCTATCATCCCTAGTCATTGTCCAGCTTTCTGATGCACAGAACATCAGTGAAATAATACGTAAATTGATAAGAGTGACCGCAGCAATGTGCTCAGGTGTGTCTGGAATGATGAGGATGCAGGCTAGGATAGGCTTCAGATCTGTTTTTCACAAGATCACTATGAGTTATGCCTGACCTGAAGGCACCCAACAACAAAAAACACATTTATGGGGAGCTCTGGTGGCCTAGTGGCAAGAATGTACACTGTAATCTCAGGGGTATGAGGTTCGAATCCACCAGATCCTCTGCTGGAGAAGGAGGGGGCAATCTTCTCCTGTATTAGTCAGATCTGATTTGACAGTACACAAGAAAAAGAATAAAATTTTAAAAAACAAACACATTTATGTTGTAAAATTTGTCTGTTTTTCCCTTCTCATTCACGTTCCTTCAATAGGGGAAAAGCCATTTACTTCTATATAGCAGCATTAGCTATAATAAAATAAATAGCAGAAATAATCTAAATATCTAATAATGGTAAATTATTGTATGCTGACTTGATGGACCTCTGTGAAATGAAACCATGTGGTAAAATGTGGATGCATCTACTAAGAAATATTATGTAAACTCCACCACCCTGAAACACTACGCTATAATTATGACTGTAAAAAAAAATCAGAATTATATGGCTAAAATTGAAAGAGAATGTGGTAAGATGAAAATATGTTATGTCAAGATGAAGAGATTATGCATATACTTAAATTTTTTTCTGTAATGTTCAGTAAAGTTATAATTATAATACATCAAAAAGATCGAAGCACTTACAGTTGGCTTTTACTATAATTAATTAGATACTATGCCAGTTTCTAACTAGCAGGAATAGAATATAGCTCTATTTGTATTCTCTCAGGAGAATTAGAAAGAGGGAAGATTGTCAAAACAAGCAAGATAGTAAAATTTAATAAAATTTTAAAGGTATTTAAAATAAAAATGTCTCTGATACATTCTGGATATGTCTAATTTCTTCACTAAGTGTAGAAGGGGAGCAGACAAGAATTTAGTTGATTTTGTGCAAAGTTTTTCTTGTTCATTCTAGGCAAGAGGCCTGGATTTCCTTCCTGTACAGGCCACTGCTCATAGCCTGTTCTACTCAATGTGCAATCTACCCCATGCCCTTCCAGGAATACTCACTCCGGCTTTCGCTTCTTGCTAATTTACTGGGGTAACTTTTGTTCGTGGGTACATATGGCTCCGGAGGTGGCAATTCAGAAATCGGATGGAAGTAGAACCTGCTTTCCCACTCATCTAGAGAGAAACAAACAGGATCTTTAGTAACAGACAATCTGCACCTAAGATGTTATGTAATGAAAGAGAACAAAAACAGAAATGCAAAAATCGCTCCTAGTTTTACGCCTATGTATTTAAGAAAAGCCAGACATGCTACAAATGTTACTGATCAATAAAACAAACCTACTAAAACAAACCTCCTGCCATCCATTCCACTCGGAAGAGTAACAATCCTGTATGACACAGAAGACCTGTCAGTAGAGTTCCCAAATATTTTGGGTTAGCAGCTGAATTCTTTAACACCAGGCTGCTTTCAATAAAACAGAGGGTCCTTTAAATCAAATCAAAGTAAATGCAGACCTAAGGAGCGGTTAGGATCTAGCCAGTCTTTCCTGGAAGCCGAGGGCCAATGTTTGAGGTAACTTTCCCCCCTACTAGTTGGCCCATGAATAATTGGAAAACAATGGCGGAGGTAAGCAAATCATTATCTGTAGGCCTTTAGCCCTTACCTGCAGTAAACAGTTTAAAGATGGAAATAATAAGTAAGTAAGCCACATAGTGGTTATTTTCAGAATTCTATAATGACCAAAAGTTAAGCAAAAATGATCCTCAAGCAGAAAACAAGCCAGAGAAAAATTATCTGCCCAAGAAGTGGTAGAAGATGACCACTCAGGGATCTTAAATTTGAAATCACAGTGGCCCCTAAGATGGCTAGCTGTATCAATGCAGGGAGTGTGATAATAACTAAGGCACTTCAATCCAAGAAACGATAATGCAAACAAATGAATCCATCATTTGGTTGCTGTGCTACAGCTCAGAAAAGTTTCCAAGAAGCCAAAACCACACCTCACCTTCACAAGATGAGTCCTGGAAGCCATTTCTAATTGATGTGGATGGAGGTGGAGGAGGAGGGGCCCCCGCTCCAGGCCTATCAGGAGGAAGCGGAGGCCTGGCCCCACTTCTGGGACTGTCTAGTCCACCCCGGGATGGCAACTGAGGGGTGGCAGGCAGGGCCCGAGACGTACTGCCATTTCTGTTTACTGGAGGTGGTGGAGGGAGAGGGCCTGGAGGGAGAGAAGAAATTGCATGTGATACCTTGTTGTTGTTATGTGCCGTCAAATTGTTTGCGACTCATAGCGACCCTATGTACAACAGCCCTAAACCCTGCTCTATCCTGTGCCAATCGCACTGCCTCTGACACACCCATCCG